AACAGATCAGCAGCACAGGTCTCCAGACAGACAAAGGAGAAACCTGGCGGAGGCACATTCATTTAGAGAGTAGTTTCAATTTCTTTAATATTTCCCAGCACAAACGGGCTTTTGCCGATTAGCCACTAAGCTGGATGCTAAAACAGACACAGGATTCTACCCACACTAGCCTGCCCTTTCCCAAGAGTCAGACTAGATGGCACAAGGTCTGCTCATTGTCAGAGACAAGCCTAACCACTGGGTACTCTGTTCTCTCCCAGAGGCAGAGCCAAACGACTCTGTCACACTGCCAAGCAGAACCACCCTTCTCTTTGTCCGCTCCTTTCCTGAGCCATACCTGAGCTCTTGTTGGGTATTACAAGTTGAAAACACTCAGTATATCTGGGGTTAAATGTTTGTTTATGTTACTCACAGGAAGTCACATGTTTCTCATGTAACCAATGTTCTTTAGATGCAGGAAGCCCGGGAATTTTCTCCCTGATCTAGGAATTTGATTGGGACTAAAGCGTCAAGGTGTATTGCCATTTTATGGCTTCTCTTCCAGTCTTTGTTTGGTGTTCTGAAGAACAAGAAGAGCAGCCATAATCTCTCTCTTCTAGTTTTGTCTTTGTAGTGTAAGGATGTAGCCGATTATGCTCTGTTGTTATTTTCACCCCAGTTACCTTCCCATGCTAGAATTTAGTAAAAACGTTATATTTTAATCACACATGGACTCTCAGTCTGAATTATTTTACTCTGGCTCTGCTGGACTATCTTATCTCTGCTAAATACCATTTTTTTCAATATCTCAATATCACCCAACAGCTCTCCCTGCTCTCTCCCTGAGGCAGAACTGAACTGAACTCCTGCCCTGTTTCCCTCCAACATTCCATCCCCCTTCTCAAAGATGATCGGATGCTGGAATAGCACTCCCATAGGCTTAGGCGAGTGGCTGTTTTCCCTTCAGGGGCAGGGCAGCCTTCTGTTTGTCACAGCAGGTACTAGGCGAAGTGACATTTCAGTGTCCAAGGAATAGTAAAAAAACCCCACTCACTCACTCACCAGGAAGAGAGCTACTGCGCTTCCCAAGATGAAGCCTGCAATGACATCTGAGCAATGGTTCCGATACTCGGAAACTCGGTTGAGCCCGGTGAGGAATGCGGCACAAAGAGTCCCCAGGCACAACACTGGCTTGGCTAGCCGACTGCTCTTCGTCTTGATTGTGCTCGTGATGTACATCTGAAATACAACCAGGGAAAAAGCAGCCTTAGAGATCCAAGAGGCGACCTCCTCCCTGCCAAAGTATCCCACACTAGTTTAGATGATCCTCCTCCTGTTTATTCCTTCAGCATACAGAGTCTGAGCACCTAGAGCTGGGTGTAGTTTTACTGCCCCACACTTGGGGTGAGCCTGGGGGGCAGAAGTGCTATGAGTCAATGTTGGGTGTTACAAGTTACAACACTTCTTCAGTATTTACTGGGTTAATGATGTTTGTTAAGTCACATGTTTGTTTGTAACCAATCTGTTTAGAGAGTTAGAAAGCCCGGTAACTTCAGATCTAGTTTGTTGTTCTGACTGGAGACCAAAGTGCCAAGTATTAGCATTTTATGGTTCCTTGTTCTGAGCAAGAAGAAGTAGTTAGTCTTCAGTCTCTTCTGCCATTTTTCAGTCTAGCTGTAAGGATGTAGGAATATTAGCTCTTTGTTATTTTACATCCCATGTACCTTTTCCCCATGCTAGGTTGTAGTAAACTTTTATACTTTTAAACACACCATGGACTGTGCCTCTTTAATAATCTGCTGATTTACTTTAAAATTAAGAATACCTAACAGTCAATAGAGTAGAGCCACTGCTATTCATGTAGCAAGGTTAAATCCCTGGCATCTCCAGCTTTTTAGTTCCAATCCTGAAAGCAGACCATGCTTCCCAGAAACTGACTACTGCTGCTGAATATGTGCTTCTCATAGATCAGTTTGCATTGTGATACTTCAGTCTGTGCACAGCATCCAAGATATTCCTGGGGCCATCATTTGTATGTGGAATGTGACATCCAAACTGGATCATTTGAAGACACGTGCACAGCAACCCAGGAGACACTTTGCTTCCTGGAAAAAGCACTGCCGTGATCAAAGAAACTGATTCCAGGTTGTTGTAGCTGTCTCTGGGGAGAACTCAAGCGCATGTTTGGATCTAGTCCCTATACTAGATAAAAGGTATTTGCAGGACTGCACCTAGTTAAAAAACAAAACAAAAAACCAGATTGTTAACCGGTCATGAACCTTCCCCATCCACTGGGTATGTCCTCCCAGTCCACCCCCCCCCGCCTTTGTAAGAACCATTTTAATTTTCAATGTAATATAATATATGACAAAAAATTAGAGCTCACACAGGAGTTATTTAAAAAGAGCGAATGGAAATTTAATTACAGAGTGAGAGATGGCTTTGTGTTCCGCTACACTGCTACACTGAAACCCATAAAGCCGTGATAGATCATTTTTAACAGCATCAAGGACAAAGAAAATAAACAAAGGGAGGGGGAAACAATTAACAGATACACACTAATTTACGAGCCTGTGATTACAAGGGCTCCGCCAGTAAGAAGACACAGTAGAATTCAAAGAAAAGCAAGGAGATAATAATACACCAGTCAGCACCATGAAAACCTCCAAAGTGATTTATGCTTTCGAAAAGGTGCCCCTTCCCAAAACAGCACCAAACAGCCCATAATACAGTAGGCATAAGGAGACCAGGAGCCGAGAGTAGGCCAGGGTCAAATTGAAGAACAGGAAAGAACCGCAAAAGCTATGGATCTGTTTTAATGGCTTGCTTGTTTTTATAGTGATAATTTATTATTTTAATTGTAAGCTGCCTCCAAGCAGGACTCTGATAAGGCAGCACAGAAATCTCTTAAATAAATACACAATAAATAAAGGGGTAAAGTGGATACAGCATTTAGCTGGACAGAGTCATGTCCAGATCTCTGCTCGCCTGTGTATAGCCATGGGCTACCTATGATCTCTGATCTACAGTGTTGTAAGGATAAAAATGGGGAAATTCCTACCAATTTCAGGGAAGGACTGAATGCAAAACTGATAAATTAAAAAAAATGATTACAATAAAAAAGAGGAATGCTTTAAAAAAGTTTTTAGACAGAACTCAGAAGCACTGATGTTCTGGTGATATACACTGCAATCCTAAACAGAGTTACACCTTTCCAAGTGCTTAGAAGGGTGTAACTTTGCTTAGGATTGCACTGAGAGTCTATGAAGGGGACAGAGTACAGTGCAGAACATTTATTTCCTTATTTATCATACTCAGGATTGGATGTTGTATTTTCAAATGTTGCAAAATAAAGAATTCAACTCTTTTGGGACCAGCTCATGGTCCATGTAATACTGCTTTGTGTGAGCCAGTCTCTGGCTTCTCGTTTGCTTCAGATTCTGCTGTCTTCCAATTAAAATAATCTTAACAATGCTTGAAAATATGCAAACACAATCAAGGAGATGGAGAGCTTGTTTCCATTCAAGCAAACCTTCCACTTTCTGAAGTCCATGAAACTCCAAGGGAAAGTTCATTGGGGAAGCGATGACTCCCTCAGACATGGATTTTGATTAACAAAATAAATCTCTGAGTTCTGCTAGTGTTTTTATTATTTACTAGGATGCAGAGGTGTACGCACACAATTAATACAAATTCTGGACAGCTAATTTTGTCCGCAATTACCGTGACTCTTATTATGGTGTAATACTGCGGAGGAGTTCAACGTGATTATAAGATTTAATATCCAGATTCAGAGATGCTTTGTTATTGCATTATAAAGATGTTTATCTTCAAAGGTTTCTCTCTACAAACAGTGTGCCGCTCCACGATAATGCTGCAGTATACTGAAATCGCATCTGAGGCCGGCTCCTGAAAACTTCCTTTTGCTTGCTACAATGTGGATGTTTTCTATTCTCAGCCTTTATTTCTGAACCTCCCACTCTCTTCTCAACTGACAAGAATGAAATAGGTGTGCTTTGGCCCCGTACAGTGCAAGCCTACGGCCCCTGTATAGCAGCTGGAAAGCCAAAGGATCCCAACTTAAGGGTCAGAGCAGATGAGACACAGGGAGATCCATCATTTACTATTCCCAGTGTTTTTATAAGCAACATGCAATCCCAAATTATACCATCATGCTGTTTCAATTTGGATTGAAGGTGCATGGAAATGGGAGAGGGGTTTAGTTCTCATTTTGGCATTGTTTTGCCAATCAAAACTGAGTTCCCTGCAGTGTGATACCCTTTTAAGGAAAAAATAGATGGGCACTCATCTCCTTTCATTTAAAGGGCCAAAAACAGCATGTTCATTGGGAAGGTGTGTTTTTTTGATTGGTGTAACCATGTTGGGATGGAAGGGGTAAATCCACTCTCCCTTTCTTACGCAGCCTCAACCTGAATCAGGGCTGTGTATGTAATTTACCTTTGAAAGACTAACAGAGATCCCTGATCTCCATCTTGTTTACTTTGACCTTTTGTTCCCTTCATTAGTGTATCTTTAACACAAGCTGGTGTCAGAAGACTGGTCAGACATTGCATCAAAACATACTGAGGGCCCACCAGTCATGCGTATCAGGCACTTGTACAACCCATGATGCTCCCAGTATGTAAGGCCACCATGCAATCTGAACAGGGGAATACACATATGTTGCATGGGCATACACTTTTAAGATCTGTGTACCAAAGCTGTGTGTGCACTGCCTGTCCCATAGTCATGGTGGGGCATTTGGGGGCACAGCCTCCCCAGCCACGAACTCTGCCCCACCACCTGAGGATGCCAGACACCCTGAGACACCCCCACCCCCCAGTGTGCCTAGCCCAACAGCAGCAGGGAGGCTGGGGAAAGAAATGGAAGCTGCCCTGCAGCTTCTGTTCAGTTTCACTTAACAACTGCTGGGAGGGGAGTGAAACTGACCAGAAGCACCTCAGGGCTGCTGCAGAGGGCTGCCATGGAAAAGAAAGCTGACCTGCCACTTTTGGTCAGTTTCACTCCCCCTCCAATCAGCTGTTAGACCTAACAGGTATTGGTCAAGGAGTGAAACTAACCAAAAGCTGCAGGACAACTTTTCATTCCTTCCCCAGCCTCCCTGCTGCTGGGGGGGGGGCCACTGGGGAAGGAGAGGGAGAGAGAGGGAGGGAGAGAGAGAATGCATGCCTTCTCTTTCTCTCTTTCCTTTGCTTTTATTTTATTTTTTATTTGATGTTGTATCTGTCCCCCAAGAAAAAAAAATATGCCCCATAAGCAAAAAATCCTGGCTACAGACCTATGCTTTGCTCTTATTCAGTGAATATGGTGACTGTATTGGGAGGATCTACGTTCAGTCAACAGGCTCTTGGTATGTATGGATGTAAAGACTGACAAGGGCTAGGGTCTCTGAGCAGGAGGTGGTAGCTCTATGCTGGTATTGTATAACTATATGATCAATATATTGGTACATGGGAGTTGGCATAACTCTGCTGTTATCAGGGTCAGGACTGGGCTGCATTGAAACCAACTTGGAAAGAAATAGCACTCATGTTGGTATCCCTTGAATCCAATAACAGTGTAACAGTGCACTTACAAAACAGGTGGTGCCCACTGAACTCGAGTGACAAAAATAACTGCCCTCCCCGCGCTTACTCTGCCTCCCTGAAGGAACACAGGATTCCAACAATCTCTGAAGCCCATCTCAGGACACTATAAGCAGTATAAAAGGTAAAGGTAAAGGTTCCCTTGCTCGAAAGCCAGTCGAATCCGACTCTAGGGTTGTGGTGCTCATCTCCGTTTCAAAGCCGAAGAGCCAGCGCTGTCCGAAGACGTTTCCGTGGTCATGTGGCCTGCATGACTAAACACCAAGGCGCACGGGATGCTGTTACCTTCCCACTGAAGTGGTACCTATTTATCTACTTGCAATTTCCTGCTTTTGAACTGCTAGGTTGGCAGGAGCTGGAACTAGAGACGGGAGCTCCCTCCGTCATGCGGCACACTCAGGTCTCAAACTGCTGAACTACTGACCTTCCACAGCCTGCAGTTCAGCGTCTTAACGACCTGAGCCACCGCAGTATACAACTTGACTATACAACTTCAGACAGAAGTGGAATCATATGTTTGAATACTCCATAGGAAGAACTATCTGCACATACAACATTACCATGTCAGGTGCAAAGCTGATCTTTGTAATGGGACAGCGTCAGAAGAGCTGCATCACATGATTCTACAGTTGTGGAGATCATTCCTAAAAGCAGTGGGTTCTCAAGCGATGCAACAAAACTAAAAACGAGATAAAGGCAGACACTCCTTGACGTACTTACCGTAGCATATAAGGCTGAATAAATGCTTAAAGCAGCATGTTTGGATGGAAAGGATCTCCTTGCCTTCTCAATCACATCCTGGTCTCCGGTGCAGATATTCCCATTGTTTACAAACTGGTGATGAGCCCGGCAGTCACTCCCAGTGTAGTTGGGTTTACACACAGTCAAGAAATAGGGCGCCAAGTTGCCTGTCACAACTTGGCCGGCATTTACAAATATGTCAGTGGCGAAAAGGCCAAATGCGAACACTCCTGTGGAAAGTTAAAAAGTAAAGTAAAATACCATTGGGATCATGATTCCCGGAATGTCACGGGAATGGAAGAAAGAATGACAGTAAGTAAAATGGGCTTCTCTTAGAAAATAAAGAAACAAAAACTTGCTACAGGGACGGGAGGAAGGGAGGGAAGGTAGCGTAGCATAGCCCGACCTTGTGAAATCTCAGAAGCTAGGCGGGGGTTTGTACTTGGATGGGAGACCACCAAGGAAGACTCCACAGAGGAAGGCAATGGCAAATCACCTTGGCTTCTCACTTGCCTTGAAAGCAGCTTCCTGGGGTCACCGTAAGTTGGTTGTGACTTGATGGTACTTAGGTATGTACAAGGTTGTGAAGAGGTGATGGTAAGAAACAGGAAGTTGTATTGCAGGGAAGCGGGAAACTAGATATCTCTACAGACCAGGGAACCAAGGACCTTACTAATTATAAATGTATGAAAAGGATGTCATCCATTTTGCAGCTACAGGCTAAACTCAGCATTACTATGCCCCATGCTTCCACGAATACACTTAAGCATGCTCTCAAGAAGAACATTATGTCACATTTTCCAGGATCATAGTAGACCCCCCTCCCATCCGCATACATGTGAAAGTATATCATGTTAAGTCAGAACATTGGTCCACTAAATAACTACTATCTACTCAAACTGGCAG